CTTCAAAGTGGTCAAACCGATGAAACTCCCGCCCTTCACCACCCGGATTTTGTTCCCTTTCAACCGAACATCATCGAGCTTGGGCGAAGCGAACGTTCGAGAATCGATCACGGCGAATCGATTATCGCGCAGGTCCAGCTCCTTCAACCATTTCAACTCCTTCAACACCATCTGGTCCAACCGATCGATCGAATTCCCGCGGAGGATCAACCGCTCCAAATCCACCAAACCCCCGAACACCAACTCGTCGACAATCGATATCTCGTTATCCGACAAATCGATACTGACGATCGAGGAGTTCTCGAAGATGGCCTCCTCCAAAGCCGTTATCTCGTTACCGTTCAGCTTCAAATCGTTGATGTTGGTGTCGCGGAAGGCGCCGCGACGCACCTGCCGGATCTTCGAATAGGACAAATCCAGTATGTCGATGGTGGAGCCTGCGAAAGCCGCCTCCGGCAGCTCCACCACGTAGTTCCTGCTCAGGTCCAGGTACACGCACCGACCCAACTCGGCGAAGTACCCCGCCGGCACGTTGATGATCGAGCAATTCGACAGATCGAGGAACTCCAAGGCGCCGTTGGAGTACAACCGCCTCACGTCGCCGTCGCGGTGCTCCAGATCGCCCAGCTCGTTGTCCTTCAAGCGCAGGTCGCGCGACACCACGGCGACGCGACGCAACCCGGTGACGTTGCTCAGATCGGCAGCCGACGCCTCCACGACGCCCGCGAACGCCTCGACGCTGGCGTTCGCCAATCCCAAGAAGCTCTTCGGCGAGCTCACGTCGACGCTCTTCCAGCGGTTGCCGCCCAAGTCCAGCCAATCGATGGCGGCGTTGAAGTCCAGCTCCTTGAACACCGTCAGCCGGTTGCCGAACAGGTTCACCCGGCGCACCGCGGCGCCGCCGGCGGCGTCGGCTCGACTCGGCACCAGGCTGTAGAGCTCGTTGTGGCTGAGGTCCACGTCGAAGACGCCGCGCACGCGGTCCAGGTCCAGCACTTTGAGCAGGTTGCGGCTGAGGTCGAGCGAGCGCAGCCGCGTCCAACGCGTCAGGTCCACCTCGAGCTCCGTCAGGCCGTTGTTGTTCAACAGCAGCACGGAGATGTCGGGCGGCAGGGTGCTCAGGAAGCGCGCGTCCTTCAGACGGTTGTAGCTCAGATCGAGCACCTCCAGGCGGGAGAAGTCGACGAAGGCGCCCGCCGATATCTCCTTCAAACCGCACTCGCTGATCTTTATCCAAGTGATTGTATCTGCGAATTAGATTCTCTTATTGTCTTGTACTATAACCTCCTGACCCTATGATCCATGACTCAATGATCCATGACCCAATGATCCATGACCTAATGATCCATGACCCAATGATCCATGACCCAATGATCCATTACCCAATGATCCATGACCCCGTGACCCAATGACTCAATGATTCATGATCTAAAGATCAATGAGAGGACATTTATGACCAATAACTCTTGACCTATGATCCATGACCCTTTAATCCATGACTCCATGACCCAATGATTCATGACCTAATGATCAATAACAGGAGATTTTTTGATCAAAGACATGTTACTCTGTATCTTCCAATGGTTTAAACTCTATTAAACCAAAGACAAGAGGTTTTTTTGGTGCTTACCGTTAGAGGCCGGTGTCCTGTAGAGCCTCTCGAGGAGGGGCAGGTTGGATTGGAGGACCTCCAGCTTGGCCAAGGCGACCTCGCGGTGGGTCCAGAGGCTCTTGTGGAGCCTCCAGGTGAACTGGTCGGCGCTCAAATTGTCGCAGGACAATTTCCTGCCGTGCTGCAGCTGACAGGTGGATCTTGTATGAGGAACTACATTGGTCAGTAACATCAACAGCAGGATTTTCGGGTGTACTAATCTAGAAGGCATTGTTTTTTGGTTTCGAATTGTTTGGTTACTTTTAGTGTGTTAGCCGGTACAGTTGGTACTGATGATGTTTGAGGCGTATCGGGTACCGTGTGTTGGGTAATAAAATGATTGTTTGATAATAATTGGTATTGTTTTAAGGAGGGAAAAATGTAAATGCGATCGTAAATTGATATTGCGAAGTGAATTTTTGGATGGATCGAAAATTGTGTGTATACAGGGTGTCCCACGACGAGTTAAAGTACCATAATTCGTACAAGTACCATAATTAATAGTGAATTAATCAAGAAGAATTCACATGGCTAACTTATAAAACCTATTTAATTGAGAATTAGGCAGAAATGTGAGTTTTATGTAAAATTTTTAATATCTTCAAAACAATTAGGTTTAGGTATAGGAAAGTAAACATGAACTTCCCTTATTTTTGACCGCTGATTTCATTTAAATAGAAAAAACTGGGTGGTTCCATTTAAAAAAATGAGGAAATTTGATATTTTTGAAGTTCAACTTTACGCATTTTTTGTACACACCCTGTATAAAATAAAAAGTTTTTCAACGCACATTCAAATACCTTTGACCTTTCTAGTAGCCACCCTACAGAAACAATTTCCATATCTTTAAAGGGATTCCCGTAAAAAAATAATTCATAAGGGTCTGCATCGGTAAAATTTTTCAAACAAAAATTATTAACTCGAAAAATATGCATTTTTGAAAAAAGTGTTTTAGACAAAAGTACCCTAAAATTTTATAAAAATAACAAAGTTGATGCCTACTTCCGGTATATCCGGAAGTGTTACGACTGTCAAAATATTTTTAAGAAATTCGTCTTATTGTATAACATATATTTACCAAATATTATTTTAATCGGATAAGTAGTTTCCAATATACAGATAGTTTTAACTCGTCGTGGAACACCCTGTACAGGGTGATTCCGTTTCGAACTGTTTTTTAAGAGTAACATTGGGTTTTTGTTTGAGAAAATCGGATTATTTATATGAATTTCCACATATATACAATTTTTTTATATAATCTCTTTATACGCGTATATCAAAACAAAGAGATAACTAAAACGCGCTCGAGCTCGAGAAAAAGTTTCCCTTTATAATCTCCCTAAACACGACAAAGAAAACTTCTGAGTTGAAAATTCCCATAAACGAAAATGTTTACGACTCGGAGAGAGAGAAAAAAGCCCTCGGCGATGCGAAAAGGAAAAACCGAAGGCGTACAGGGTGTCCCAAAAAAAACAACAAACTTAATAAATTCATTGTGTAATTTCGGCGTTATTAAATCGATCAAGTTTTATCGCAACTTTCAATTTTATTTGTGGAGTTTTCCCCGCCATTTTTCCATTGCTCGTTTTTTTCCTATCCCTATGCGAGTGTAAAATTGTGACACCCTGTATATACGAAGATGGAAAATCGCATAATCAGGGTGTAAACAGTAAAACGATTCCGTATATCGCGATGGCGTTGAATCCGAGCGGAAAACTTGTTCCGATTTTATTGCGTTTTCCAGTTGTTTCCATTTCATTCGGAAATTTTCCACGCAAGGTCGTTGGAAAGATTAGATACGCGAAGAAAATCTTCCGCCATTACGTCAAATGTCATTGTCATTAATGTCAATTAAATGGTTGTTGTAATGTAGCGATGTAATATATTGAACGAACCTCGAATATATATCACTAGATTCGACATATTTTGTCACTAGTTTTGACATGTCCTGACACAAAAAAAATCCTAAATTTAACACAAATTTCCCCTAAACTTTGATTTCCCCAAAATTTAACAGGAATTTCACCTAAATCTGACGTTCTAAAATCCCCAAGATTTCAAACAATTTTCCCTAGAACGAAGCCTGCTAAAATTCCCCATATTTAACACAATTTCCCCTAAATGCATCCTTCATAAAATGCATTAGATTTGACACAATTTCCCCTAGTGTTGTGGCAACAAAATTCTCCAGATTTTGCACATATTTCCCCTAAATCTGACATTCTAAAATCCCCTAGATTTCAATCAATTTCCCCTAGAACCGAGCCTGCTAAAATTCCCCATATTTAACACATATTTCCCTTGAATCTGATGTTTATAAAATCCCCTACATTTGACACAATTTCCCCTAGATCTGCCGAATCTAAAATTCCCCAGATTTCCTTTAGATCTGATTTTAATAAAATTCCCAAGACTTAATATAAATTTTCAAGAGTCAATATAAATTTCCAAGGGTTAATATAAAGTATAGTACAACTACAACTAACCGATCGTGACGTCATCGCCGTGTTAACCTAAGGGCAATAGGAAAATGAGCTTTTACTCGGTAATAAAATAAGTTTTGTGGGGGGAAATTCGTGTTTACAAAATGCGATTCACGTGTAGTCAAGGAAAACCCCTAGAGTTTCCTCTGAACCGAAGCGAGTTTTCCGATAGCAGGAAAATCCCATTCATAACTTCGTTTTCCGAGCGGTTTGTGTAGGAAAGTTTTTTATTTTCTTTATTTGCTCGTCCGTTCACAATGGGCGGCATAATTAGTTTTGTTTCGAGGAAATTTTCCCGTTTGACGGCGTGTAAAAAGAAAATTCGCTGGGTAGAGGTTTGGGCGAGTGGCAGAGGGAAAATAGCGGGTGGAATTTCATGCGAGTTTTCCTCGATTTTCTCGTCTTTGGATTTATTCTTTAACTTCGTATATAAAATGAGAAAATTTTACCCAGAAGAAAACAATTAAAATTCCCCAGATTTTGCGCATTTTTCCCCTAAATTTGGACGCTCATAAAATGCATTTGATTTGAAACAATTTCCCCTAGAGATGAGGCAAAAAAATTCCCCAGATTTTGCACATATTTCCCCTAAATCTGACGTTCATAAAATGCATTAGATTTGACACAATTCCCCTTAAAACTGACGCCACGAAATTCCCCAAATTTTGCCCATATTTTCCCCAGATTTTGCACATTTCCCCCAAACCTTCCCTTCGTATAATTCCCTAGATTTGAATTAGAATTCCCCCTAAAACTGACACAACGAAATTCCCCCAGATCCCACCGCCCGCCACCCCTTTAAAACAACTCTAATTCTCCCTTTTGTCCGCAGAGGGCGCTCGGTCCGTTTGCCATGAGCATCTGCGATGTGGAGCTATGTAATGGCGGCGGCTCGATGTGACCCGCGCAGGCGCCCCGGGTCCGTCTTCACCGTACAAGCGGCGGCGGCGGCGGCATCGTCGCACAGGGCCGGTCCGGGCCCCTGCAGGGACGGCCTCGCCGCCGACGGATCCGCCAAATTCGTCCCGAACTCCATACAGGTACGAACCTTAACCTCGTTTTTATCGCCCTCTACCGATGGTAAATTGTAATTATTCGCCCTGTGATCTTCCAGAGAGATGGCGCCGGCGGCGATTTCTCCGGCGACGAGCTGGACGCCAATGAGGCGGGGATGTCCAGGGACGTGCTGGCCGAAGTGCAGGTTCATACGCCGCTGGCGGAGCGGTGTCGAAGGTTTCAGGAAAAAACACCATTGCAGGTAAGTACTAGAACTCCCCTCGTATATTCTACGGAAATTTCGGTTAAACAGGGTGGGCGAAAAAAAAAACACCAGTTACTTCGATGATTCGGAACTCCCCTCGTATATTCTACGGAAATTTCGGTTAAACAGGGTGGGCGAAAAAAAAACACCAGTTACTTCGATGATTCGGAACTGCCCCCGTATATTCTACGAAACTTCCGATTGTAAATACAGAGTGGGTCAAAAAAAAGAGTACCAGTTACTTCGATGATTGGATGATTCGGAACTACCCTCGTATATTCTACGTAAATTTCGGTTAAACAGGGTGGGCGAAAAAAAACACCAGTTACTTCGATGATTCGGAACTCCCCCCGTATAATCTACGGAAATTAATCGCGGTCTGCTCCCCGTAAAACTGCTCCCGTAAAATCTAATCACATCGCTCGCTCTCACTCTAGCACTCATAATTCCCCATTATAAAAATACCAAGTGGCCAAAAAAAAAAAAAATTAAGTAGGTACTTTGGGAACTCCCCCCGTATAATCTACACGAATTAATCACATCTCTCTCGCTCTCACTTTAGCACTCATAATTCCCTATATTCGAAATACCAGGGGGACTCAAAAAATTTCATCTCTTAATTCCCTATTGTAAAAATACGAGGTGGCCCAAAAAAAAATTTAACTAGGTACCGGCTACTTTGGGAACTCCCCCCGTATAATCTACGCGAATTAATCACATCCCTCTCGCTCTCACTCTAGCACTCATAATTCCCCATTATAAAAATACCAAGTGGCCCAAAAAAAAAATTAAGTAGGTACTTTGGGAACTCCCCCCGTATAATCGACGCGATTAGTACCTCGTGCACATCGCGGCGGGCTGTTCCGGTGACGCGACATCAGTCACTATAGAGTATCTCGAGATTGTCGAACCTCGAGCGATAGATTTTCGATAGATTTCGCATCGGATATTCGCGACAGGCGGAGGCCTGTCGACGGGGGGCATCGACGTCGCGACGCGTCGATCCCGCGGGATCGATTCCGAACGGGATAGAGAGATAGAGCGATATATAGAGAGCGAAAAGGGACGAGGTAGTTTAATTGGAAATAATGACGCCTACACGTGCCCGCCCGAGATAGCTGAGATGGTGACCGTTAAATTGAACATCACGTCGGTCAATCGTCGGGATTATACGGTAATATACGTGTAATTGTGTATTTAATTGTAAGTTTTTTTTTTGTTTTTGTTTCGTCCCACTTCTGATTATTCGAAGTTTCGTGATCCCACTTCTGATTGTCGTTGTTTTGTGATCCCACTTCTGATTATCGATGTTTTGTGATCCCGCTTCTGGTTAGCGAAGTTTTGTGATCCCACTTCTGGTTAGCGATGTTTTGTGATCCCGCTTCTGGTTAGCGAAGTTTTGTGATCCCACTTCTGGTTAGCGATGTTTTGTGATCCCACTTCTGATTGTCGTTGTTTTGTGATCCCACTTCTGATTATCGAAGTTTTGTGATCCCACTTCTGATTATCAAACTTTTGTGATCCCACTTCTGATCGTTTTGGTTGTACACTTTGTACACTTTATATACTTTATGTGTGCACTTTATTAAATATTTACACGGTGTTTTGATTTAAATGTTTTACTTTTAAATCGCAATTTGAATTGAATTTGAGAAAATTTACCATTTATCGCATTTTCGCGTTTCAATCTAACGTTGAAATTAATTAATGTGTTAATTAATTGAATGCCGATACTTCAGGATGTGAATATTTGGATGAATTTGAGAAGAAAAGTTTATATGAATGTATGTTCTAAAGCTCTTAGTTTTCGAGCTACAGGGTGTTAAAATTTTAGAAAAAAAAAACTTTTCTATCATAATTTTCTTATTACTCCAGATTTTTTTAAGAAATTTTGTATACACTTTTTAATTATTAAGGAGCATTTTTTGAGGCATAAGATTTTTTTAAATGTTTACCAGTGACGTCCGTACGGGGTTTGAACTGAATATGCTTGAAAAAAAAATGGTACACCACTGCATTTTCTAAAAACTAAAATTATTTTTAAAATCCTCATTTATTTTGTAGCAAATTCGGTTAGAAGACTTATTTTCGTAAGACGCACCATTTTCGTGTAAAAAAAATAAAAACCAAAACCATTTTTTCCCAAATTCATTTTGAAACTGCTTTTGATATTTTATTGAAATTTGATAGGCGCCCACCATGCATGGAAACACTTTTTTTTGGGGATAAAAATTAATTTTCTACTATTATCAGTGACGTCCACGTCCGAAATTTCATAAAAATATCTGCCGTAATAAGAAAATTATGATAGAAAAGTTTTTTTTTCTAAAATTTTAACACCTGTAGCTCCAAAACTGAGAGGTTTTAGGACATACATTGATATAAACTTTTCTTCTTAAAATCATCCAAATATTCACATCCTGAAGTACCGGCATACAATTAATTAACACCCTTTATTTTATTATAGAAATAATAATTCTCGTTGGTGCGCACGAGCGCTAATTCGCGCATTAAAATTAATCAATTAACCGATATAAAATCGCCCGAATGCGGACTTAATTGTTAATAAATAATCCTTAATAAAGCCCATTCCGTAATACTGTCACGTATGAGGATAATGGAAAATTATAATAGGAAAACTGCCGGTTTTACGACAGTTAATAACTCGAACGTACGGTATGTGCGGTTACGTGACCATTCCCCCTTCAAATGGATGAATTATTATAAAAAAAAAAAACTTTATTCGCAAACAAAAGCTTTATTTTTTTCTGTTTTTCCGCGATTTATCGTACACGTGACAACGTCGCACCATACACGATATACATGAATCAAAGAATTATTCCTTTTACCTCATAAACAAGAAAAAATTATTTGTTACCATCACTAGGTTATTCACAAATTGATCATCGAAAACTTGGTCTTTAATGATTTGATCATCATTAGCTTGGTTATCCATAACTTGGTTAATACCATAACTTGGTTATCCAGAAAAATAATAATTTATTTGTTACCATAACTAGGTTATTCACAAAGAGGAATCAAAGAATCATCCCTTTTACCTCATAAAGAAGAAAAATAATCACTTATTTTTTACCATCAATAGGTTATTCACAAATTGATCATCGAAAACTTGGTCTTTAATGATTTGATCATCATTAGCTTTGTTATCTATAACTTGGTTATGCAGAAAAATAATAATTTATTTGTTACCATCACTAGGTTATTCACAAAGAGGAATCAAAAAATCATCCCTTTTACCTCATAAAGAAGAAAAATAATAACTTATTTGTTACCATCACTAGGTTATTCACAAATTGATCATCAAAAACTTGGTCTTTAATGATTTGATCATCATCATTAGCTTGGTTATCCATAACTTGGTTATCCAGAAGAATAATAACTTATTTGTTACCATCACTAGGTTATTCATAAATTGATCATCAAAAACATGGTCTTTAATGATTTGATCATCATTAGCTTGGTTAACCGTAACTTGGTTATTAATAACCTGGTTATTCATAACTTGGTTATCCACAACTTTGTTATCAATAACTTGGTTACCCGCGCATTTTAACCATTCAATCGCCCAAAATTGACCATTTTTTATTCCTCCTGCAGGAGACCCTCCGCAGGCGACCGCTGCTGTCGACGGTGCGCGGCGGCCTCGGCCGGATAGCCTCCGCCCTGCGGGCGGCGGTCCGCTTCAGGCGCTTCTCCCGCCGCCGGTCACGCGCCGCCCCCGACTGGTTCATCGACAAATGCCCGACGGACGATCATCCGGCCGACAAGGACCACCTGGTGCCCACCTGCTGGGGTCGCAGGATCGTCGTCGATCCCACCAAGCTCTCGCACTACGTGGTAAGCACTGCTCACGTTGAACATATCGCCACTAGGGGGCTTCTAAGGCTCTAAATTGGTAGCCTTGGAACTTACCTAAATAGAGGTTATTTGGAAATCCTGCGAGTAGATACAACAACCAGTTTCTAAATGTCCTGAATTTCCTAATTTCCAATGGCAACATCCTAAGTATCACCTTAGTGTTGCCTAGTAAGGTGTTCAACGTGCCTTTCCAAAGGTATTTGGTTGATATCTGGAGATGCAGGAAGGTACTTAAAGTAGTTCTTTGCACTTTAACGTACCGGTTAACAAAAGGAAAGATTCCAAGCATAGCCTACTACCGCCTCCAAGGAGCGTCCAAAAAGCCTTTGGAGTGTCCAAGGAGTGTCCAAAAAGCCTTTGGAGTGTCCGAGGAGTGTCCAAAAAGCCTTTGGAGTGTCCAAGGAGTGTCTAAAAAGCATTTGGAGTGTCCGAGGAGTGTCCAAAAAGCCTTTGGAGTGTCCAAGGAGTGTCCAAAAGGCATTTGGAGGTGCTTAAAGTGTTTTTGTTCGCAGTGGTTGATGGTGGTGTCGCTGGCGGCGCTGTACAATACGATTTTCGTACTGGGCAGGGCGGTGTTTTGGGAGTTGAACAACAAATACCCGCCGTTGTGGTGGACTTTGGACTATTTGTGCGACGCCGTGTATATAGTGGACGCTTTGGTGCATGCGCACGAGGGTGAGTACCTAACCTATTATACAGGGTGTCCCAATGAAAAGTGGCCCCTTTAGTGAGCTAATTTTTAAACGCCTAATCATAAAAACGTGCGGTTTTCGCAGATTTATTTTATTTTGCTATAACTTTTTGGTGGAGTGACACAAAAATTTTGTATTGTCTGTACAGGGTGTTTCATAAAATTCTCTCTTTTAAATTTACATTAACCAAATTTTATGAAATAGGACAGCTTCTTTTGTACAAATAATACATTTTTGAAAAGTAGAAGAGTATATCTTTCAAAATAACTCTGTATATACAGGGTGTTTCATTTAAAAAAATTGGTTACTCGTGCATTTAAAAGATGAGATTTTAATAAAACACCCTGTATTGGTAAAGTGCATAATTTCTCTATCACTGTAACAAAACTTGTAATAAAATAAAACATATTTGAGAAAATTAAATTAAAAGTTCATTAAAGGGGCTACTTTTCACTGGAACACCCTGTAGTACAAATTGGAGTTGCGTAAATATATAGGGTGGCGTGAAAAAGTCCCTTTTTTTTATTGCATACGAAATTGAAATATCTCGGAAACTATTCATGTTAGGTGTAGTGAGTAAATTTGTAAAGGTACTAGTACTTTTTCGGTATATGTATACAGGGTGGGCAAAAAAATTAAATCAAGAATTAATAGGCAAAAAAATTAAAGAAAAAAAGTCAATTAATTTCGGTGTTTTGTATGGAAGTCTAAGAGTTTTTCCTCGGCTCGCTTGATGATCTCGGGACAATATCGAATTTCGAGAGGGAGAAACAAAAAAATGAACAGAAGATGCGAAAGGGAACAAAGAGAAAATTAATGGATGAAAATTACATTCTTAAGATGACGCAAAAATAACAAATCGAAATACATATATCGACTGTAGGTTAAGAATCATTTTATATAAAAGGGGATGATGTAATAAATCCCTTTCTTTCGCAACAAAAGGCATCGAGATATACGGGGTGGCCCAAAATAGAGAGAACGTAAACTATTCGAAACAATTCAGGACGATCCTAGAACCATTTAGAATCATTAGAACAGTTCTGATTAATTAGGACCGTTGCGGAACAGTTCAGGACGATCCTATAACTCTGTCTAGAATTATTTAGAACCATTTAGAACCATTTAGAATTGACTAGAACTATTTGAATCAGTTTAGAACTATCTTAGAACTCTTTAGAACTGTCTAGAATCGTTTAGAACCATTTAGAACAGTTCTGATTAATTAGGACCGTTTCGAAACAGGATGATCAAATCGAATCCGTTTCGAATGTGAAAATCGCCCGGGAAAATAGAAAAATAAAAAAAACCTATAAAGAAAAACAGGAAAAGAATAACCGTCGGGCGCGCCTCTATCGGAAAACGCCATCATTATTGACACTTTACGCCCGGTAAAGTTTGTCCAATTTGCGAAATTACGAATCATAATTCTTCGTGATAAATTGCTTTTTTCGAGGCGATACGGCGACAGCGCAAATATTTACCCTGCTCATTCCCGTCCCCTTTTTTGAGCACACATTTTGAGCGCAATTTCCATCATAATTTTCCTACCTACACGTCTTATATACTATTAGGAAAATTCCGTTTTTCATTTTCCCAATTAGAACTATTTACAATTGGTAATTTTGGAAGATTTTTTTTGAATTGGGTTTAAATCGGTTCGGGATCTCAGAACCAGTCAAAAATCATCAAGAATCGTTTAGAACCGTTTTAGAATTGACTAGGACTGTTTAAAACAGTTCGCGGGGTCTTAGAATCATTCAAAAATTATCAAAAATCATTTAGAACTATGTTATAATTGACCATGACTGTTTAAAACAATTCGGGGTCTCTTAACCATTCAAAAAATATCAAAAATCATTTAGAACCATTTTAAAATTGACCAGGACCCTTTAAAACAGTTCGCGAGGTCTTTGAACCATTCAAAAAATACCAAAAATCATTTAGAACCATTTTAGAATTGACCAGGACCGTTTAAAACTGTTCTAGATTAACTCAGAACCATTCAAAAATTATCCAGAATCATTTAGAACTATTTTAGAATTCACCAGGACTGTTTAAAATAGTTCGCGGGGTCTTAGAATCATTCAAAAATTATCAAAAATCATTTAGAACCATTTTAGAATTAACCATGACGGTTTAAAATAGTTCGGGATAAATTCAGAATCATTCAAAAATTATCAAAAATCATTTACAACCATTTTAGAATTGACCAGGACCGTTTAAAATAGTTCAGAACTCTCCTAAAAATCGTTAAGAGCAATCTTAGGACTAACAATTCAACACAGTCTTAGAACCATTCAAAACACTACAGAATTATTCAGAACCATTTCGTATATAAAGAATCCGAACATTTCCACATAATTCCAAAAAACGCCTCGTACATTCATTCAATTCCTGTCGATTTTCTCCGATGGGAAAACCGCGCGCGCGGGGGGAGCAGTTTTCTTAGGGGTTACAGGAAAATCGAGGGGGGAAAATAAAGGACGCCTTCCACCAGTGGAATGTAAATAAAAAGCCATTAACTGGTTTTTCCATTACGGCTGACACGCCATCGCAATTCGAGATCAGGGCCTCGATCATGAGGGACGAAAAAATTGTATCGTCATCGCGCTTGAGGAAAACGAAGAGACAATTAAAGCAATTAAAACGATTAAAACAATTAAAACGGGACCTTTTCCTTTTTGCGATTATAGCCTAATCAAATGGCCGTGACCCAATTGGTTCCGGGACTTTTCCACTGTGGAAAATGTATTACAGATATCGACAATCGAATTGTAAAACGAAAGTTTTCAAAATGGTACCATTGGTAATAAATCGCTCAATGGAAAATCGAAATTAGAAGAGATAGAAACACCATTTCAATGTCTTTAGTTCGAAATAACAGTCAGGACGGATTCTGGAACAGTTCAGAACGGTTCGTTATGGTTTGAATTAGTTCAACAATCAGTTCTGATTGACTGATCATTCTCCTCTATCGAATCCTTTTATTAAATTGTTCAGAGATACTCTCTATCTCTCTTTCTTTCTGTCTGTCTCTCCCTCTCTTTCTCTCTCTCTCTCTCTCTCTCTCCCTCCCTCTCTCTCTTTTTCTTCCTCTATTTCTCTTTCTCTCTGTCTATCTTTCTATCTATGTCCAACTCGTATATGCATGTAAACGGGGAATCCCCCCGGGATGTTCCTTTTAAAGGGCCATCCGAGACTTCGGGCGACATCTTGGAAACATCGCGTGTCACGGGGGCGTATTAGAACGCAAATAAGGGTTTATTAGACGAGGGGTGGCGCGCGGGGGGTGGGTGGTGGGAAAGAAGAAAAAAAGGGGTTAATTAGGTAAAGCGCTCGATGGTGGTGCGCAATTAATTGAATCGTTTGGACTTTTACCTCTCTCTCGGAATCGAATCTATAATCGGTCCGCTGTGACACCAGGGTCGGGTTCTAAACCGTTCTGGGATTGTGTTATGAACTGTTTTAAATAGTTGTAGTCTATTTTAAAGACGATTCTAAATGAATTTGGACAGTTCTAATTTGCTCTAAGTTGGTCGAAAACTGTTTTAAATAGTTGTAGTCTATTCTAAATGATTTTGTACAGTTCTAAATTGCTCTAAGTTAGTCCAAAACTGTTTTAAATAGTTGTAGTCTATTCTAAATGATTTTGTACAGTTCTAAATTGCTCTAAGTTAGTCCAAAACTGTTTTAAATAGTTGTAGTCTATTTTAAAGACGATTCTAAATGATTTTGGACAGTTCTAATTTGCTCTAGGTTGGTCCAAAACTGTTTTAAATAGTTGTAGTCTATTCTAAATGATTTTGTACAGTTCTAATTTGCTCTAAGTTGGTCCAAAACTGTTTTAAATAGTTGTAGTCTATTCTAAAGATGATTCTAAATGATTTTGGACAGTTCTAATTTGCTCTAGGCTGGTCCAAAACTGTTTTAAATAGTTGTAGTCTATTCTAAATGATTTTGTACAGTTCTAAATTGCTCTAAGTTAGTCCAAAACTGTTTTAAATAGTTGTAGTCTATTTTAAAGACGATTCTAAATGATTTTGGACAGTTCTAATTTGCTCTAGGTTGGTCCAAAACTGTTTCAAATAGTTGTAGTCAATTCTAAAATGTCTCTAAATGATTTGAAAACAGTTCAATAAGTGGTTCTAATATAGTCCTGGAGTGTTTCAAACGCGGTACTAGACACTTCTAAAATGGTTCTAAAGGACCCTACACGGTCCTAATTCATTCCGGACCACCAGTTTTAATCGAACCCCTCAATCCTCTCTTCCACCACACCAACACACCTCTCTCTTATCAACACTTACTCTTTCGACCCGCATCCAGGTTACCTGGAACAAGGCCTGCTGGTGACGGAGCCGCGCAAGCTGCGCGCCCACTACCTCCAATCGAACTCCTGGCGTTCGGACGTCATCTGCGTGGTGCCCACCGATCTGGCGTACGCCTGGTGGCCCCCATTCCAGTGCGACCTGGCCGTACCCTGTCCGGTCATCGTGCGCCTAAATAGGCTCTTCAAGTTGCCCAGGCTGTGGGAGTGGTTCGAGCGCACCGAGACCGACACCAACTACCCGAACGTCTTCAGGATCTGCAAGGTGGTGCTGGCCATTCTGGTGCTGATCCATTGGAACGCCTGCCTGTACTTCGCCATCAGCTATTTCATAGGCTTCGGCACCGATAATTGGGTGTACAATTTGAACGGGCCGCAGAATTCCTCGTTGGCCAGGCAGTATATTTACAGTTTCTATTGGTCGACGTTGACGTTGACAACTATAGGGGAAACGCCGGTGCCTGAGAACGATGCCGAGTACCTGTTTGTGGTGGCTGATTTCCTGGCTGGTGTTCTCATTTTCGCTACTATTGTCGGTAAGTTTTATAGGTAAAAGGTTTTTTTTTAAATTGGCCGGTTGTCTTTGGTAGTCTAAGGCTTAATTAAGAGAGACGTTATTGTCAAAGCCTACTGATGTATCTATCTGATAATAATAACATTTGGTGAGTTTTCTATGAGGAATCTAGAGTGTTTGTATGGCATAAGTCATAATAATCTATCAATATTTTCAATTGGCCAGTTGTCTTTAATAATCGAGGACTTCATTATAAAGGAGAAGACTATACTATTTTCAAAGCATATCTGATAAATCTAAAAATAGTAACGTTTGGTGAATTTTCTATTGAGGAATCTAGAGTGTTTGTGTCATAATAATCTTGCAAGATTTTAAATTGGCCGGTTGTCTTTACTAATCGAGGGCTTAATTAAGAAGGAGGAGATTACTATTTTCCAAGCCTACTGATAAATCTAAAAATAGTACCATTTGGTGAATTTTCTATTGAGGAATCTAGAGTGTTTGTGTCATAATAATCTTGTAATCGATGGCTTAATTAAGAAAGAAGTTTTTTTTAGCATATAAATAACCTTCTAAATTTCAACCTTAATAATTCAATAAGATTTTAATCGATATAGGAGAATTACCTATTTACTAACATGTAGTTAACAACGATAATAGATATCAAAATAAATCGACTTCATAAATAGTAAAGCGATCATTAAATTCAATCAAATACCCGATTTATAACATCCAAGCTTTTACTTATTCATTCGAATTTTCACAACGGGTAAGGTCACGGGTATACTTAGAAAATAAACTTTTCCTTCAATTATAACGCCCTCGACTAGTAAACCCAACCAGCCAATTTAAAATCTTCTTCTTCTTCTTCTTCGCTTGAGGTCTCATCTACACTCAGGCAACATCGCCTCGATGATATCGAACATGAAAATCCCAGAATTACCAACTCATTATTCGAACTCGTAAACTGCTTCTGCTAGTTCCACCCCAGCAGAAGAAGTCTTGATTAGTGATTAGTAAAGGGTATAAAAGAAGCAATCAATATATGAAATAAACTAAAAATATCTGCGATCATAGAGTCTTCAAAAATACTTGGATTCGCAGTAATCATTTTAGTAGTCAAGTGGTTTTTTGGAGACTGCAAATTCGAGAAAAGCTTGTTTTTTAAAAGCCACTGCAATCTGCTTCTGCTAGTTCCACCCCAGTAGAAGAAGTCTCTATTAGTTTCCAGGCAACATCGGCTCGATGATATCGAACATGAAAATCCCAGAACTACCAACTCATTATTCGAAATCGCGGAAACTGCTCCTGCTAGTTCCACCCCAGTAGAACAAATCTCGATCAGTAAAGGGCATATAAAAAACGCTATCTACCGGTTTCCAGGCAACATCGGCTCGATGATATCGAACATGAACGTGGCCCGCGTCGATTTCCAGAACCGCATGGACGGCGTCAAGCAGTACATGGCCTTCCGGAAGGTGGGCAGGGAGCTGGAGGCGCGCGTCATCCGCTGGTTCGCCTACACCTGGGCCGAGAGCGGCGCCTTGGACGAGGAGCGCGTCCTCTCGGCGCTGCCCGACAAGCTCAAGGCCGAGATCGCCATTCGCGTCCATCTGGACACCTTGCGCAAGGTCCGGATATTCCAGGACTGCGAGCCCGGCCTGCTCGAGGCGCTTGTACTCAAACTTCGACTACAAGTAAATCGCATTTATCACTTCATCCATCCAACCAATGGAGTCACCAAAACGAGGTTAGACCAAAGGACCTTGGTTAGACAAGGTCTAACCTTGTTTTGACCGAAGGACCTTGTTTAGACAAGATCTAACCTTGTTTTGGTTACTCCGTTGGTTGGATGGTTGAAGTATATACAAAACTATTCGATTCGCTCGATTGATAATCGGTTCTGCAGGTGTTCTCGCCGGGCGATTACATATGCAGGAAGGGCGACGTGGGCAAGGAGATGTACATAGTGAAGAGAGGTCGATTGCAGGTGAGCCAACTCCGCGAATTCTCTATAACCAATATCGATTTATCGTTGTGGTACTACCCAGGTGGTAGCCGACGACGGTTGTACGGTACTGGCGACGCTCGGCGCCGGTTCGGTTTTCGGCGAAGTAAGCGTCCTGGACATAGCAGGAAACCGCACTGGTAACAGGAGAACCGCGAACGTCAGATCCTTGGGCTACTCGGATCTCTTCTGCTTGGCCAAAGACGATCTGCTGGTCGCTCTGGCCGATTACCCGGAGGTAAGTAACGACGCCATCTTGCGCTGGATTAAGTAATGACGCCATCTTGTGTCGAATTCTACGCCTACTATGTTTGTGTGTGTGTGTGTGTGTTCTAGGCGAGGGCGACGCTGACGGAGCGCGGTTGCCAGTTGCTCAGGAAGGACGGGTTGCTGGACGAGGAGGTGTTCCGCAACGCCAAGGACACGCAGGAATCGATGAACGACAGCATCAGGAAGCTGGAGGGCACCGTCGAGACGCTGCAAATACGCCTGGCTAGGTTGCTGGCCGAGTTCACCGCCAGCCAGGCCAAAATCAAGCAGAGGATCACCCGGATCGAAACGAGGTGAACATACAATAAAAAATGCTAATGTTAACGGTTTTGCAAGTTCGGCGGTTATGATGTCGTGTAAACGTGGGTGTTTTAGAGCGTTCTGAATGGTTCTAGACTGTTCTAAATGGTTCTAGATCGTTGTAAATGACTCTGGAGCGTTCTTAATAGTTCTAGACAGTTCCGAATGATTTTGGAGCGTTGTACATTGCTCTAGTCAGCTCTGAATGGTTCCAGACAGTTTTAAATGGTTCTAGAAGCTTTTCAAATGGTCGTATGGCAGGTCTAAATGTTTCTGAATATATTTTAAATGGTCTTATGACAGGTCTAAATGTTTCTGGAGCGTTCTAAGTGTTTCTATATAGTTTTAAATTATTTTGGACGGTTCTAAACAGTTCTAGACAGTTTCGAATGATTTTGGAGCGTTCTGAATTGGTTCTAGACAGTTCTGAATGGTTCCAAGCAGTTCTAAAAGGTTCGGGAAGTATTTTAAATTGGTTGTATGGCAAGTCTAAATGTTTCTGGATGTATTTTAAAAGGTCTTATGACAAATCTAAATGTTTTTGAAGCGTTCTAAATGGTTCTATAAAGTTCTTAATGATTTCGGAGCGTTCTAAATGGTTCTAGACAGTTCTAAATTGATTATGAAGCGTTCTAAATGGTTTTGAAACGTTCTAAATATAGTTGTAGATATTTATACATGTTTCTAGAGCGTTCTAAGTGTTTCTATATAGTTCTAAATGATTCTGGAGGGTTCTAAATGGTTTTGAAACGTTCTAATTAGTTCTAGACAGTTCTAAATAATTATTGAGCGTTCTAGATTGCCCTAAACATTTCTAAATAGTTCCAGATAGTTTTATAATTCCAGATAGTTTTATAATTCCAGATAGTTTAATAATAATTGCGGATTTAATTGGCTTTTAGCGCGACGCGCGAGGAGGAAAAGGCGTCGCAGAAGGAATCGACGGCGGTGAGCGTCGCGGCGCCGCAGAGGAGAAGGTTGCACTCGTTCGAAGTGCGCAGGGAAACGTCGGGATCGTCGAATAGACATCAGACTCTGTGAGAGGAGATCATTTTCGGTTTTTTTTTTCTTCTTCTAACACGTTAAAAGACTCTTTTCTGTAATGGGGAAATCGAAGCGCTTATTTAAACAAACCAGGAAAAATTAACGCGAGCGCCGTTAATATAGGGTGTTAATTAATTGAATGCCGATACTTAAGGATGTGAATATTTGGGTGATTTTAAGAAGAAAAGTTTATATCAATTTATGTCCTAAAATATTCACATCCTGAAGTATCACCATTCAATTAATTAACAACCTGTATGTCGAGATGTTTTTTAAGTACAAAATAAACGCTTAATATGTAATCAAATCGATGTAAATTACTACAAGAACAACCTTCGATGAAAGGTGATGTTGCAGTAATTATTATATAATATAATATTAGTCCTTTAAGAAGCCAGGCTTCTATATTGGGACACTCTGTATATGTTAGAAATTGTCAAGAGTTTTGACTACCCAGAAAAACCAACAAATCTGAATGGTTAATTATACATACACTTTTAAATGAATACTAAAAGAAGAATTAAACTGTTATTTTTTTAAGCTGTTTAGATAGTTTATTAACTCCAATTAACAAAACCAAAAAAAACACTTGTACGTATTTGTAAATGTTATTAATTAATACATATCTATTTTACACTGAAAAGTTAATTCTATAAACGTTTTTTATACGAAAAATAACTAAAATGCTTCGTTAAGTTTACAATGAAAAGTTATCGGGGAATTCTTAGCGAGGATTTTTCGCGACTTCTATCACCTCGATTAAATCAATTTTACGACGGGTATAGGGTTTTGATTTGAATGAATTAATTTCGGAAAACCAAAAAAAAAACAAAATTATAACAAATAACGAATACCCCGGTAATTGCGAGCCTTATTGAAATTGTGATACAAGAGCTCTTATGTTAAATTGGTAAACGTTAGTCGTATAGGATAAACAAATTATCTAACAAAAAGTTTAATTTATAGGTAATTGTAAAATCTGTTATTTTAGGAAGCATATTAAACATTTCTCTTAACTGGTCTTGTTTACACTATACTATAAGAACCGAGACATGATACCGAAATTAATTGAGCTCAGAAACTCGCCGGATCCAGTCGTAGTAAGTCGATATTCTGGAATAAACGTTCGGATGCATTTCATTGGCGATGCCGCACAAATCCGTTATGAAACTGGCTATGCCCACTTGCGCTCCCTCTACTATCAAAGCGGTACCGGAATCGCCCTAAAATTCAATTTACCATCAATCGACGCGAATCCTTAAAGGAATTCTAAACAATTATACATTACAAGCTCCACCCGCCAGGGCTCCGAAGCAAATGTGGTGCTCCACATCGTACTTTCTACCGCACACTTCGTCCGGATACACGTCCACGTCGAGCTTGCGCAGGTTCGAAGACAACGGCCCCCCGTGCTACAAAAAAAATAATCATTTCCGTCGTTATAATATCGTGTAAACGTGGTGGTTTTATGTCCACTCGATTGACACTTCCGACCGACCAATCAGCGTCGAATATTTCTACAGGAATTTTATTATTTCGAAGTTGTCGGTAGTGCGTTACTAAATAATTCGACAGTTGACAGATCGCATTACAAGTTCGAAGAAAATTAACGTTTTAATGTAATTTTTACTCGTTTAAGCGTGGATTTAAGTGCGTTTTTAAGGTAAATATCATTCCTATTAATCCCAAGTCTTACGTATGTCCTTCCCCAGCCGATGATGGTGCCCTTAGTTCTTCTATCGGCGATGAAATCGGCGGAGATTCGAACGGGGGCCCAGCGGCCTGAGGGCAGCGGATGCTCCAGCTCCAAAACGGCGGCGTCGAAGATGAGCTTCTGCGAGTCGAAGCGTTCGCAGTGGACCCGTTTCACGGGCACCACGTTGACGGGGTCCTTGGTGATGGTGAGCAGGTCATACTGTATGGTGAACGAGGTGGCGTTGCGAGCGCTGGAAAGAGATCGATGTAGTTTCGGTTATTTTGGAAAAGCACGGTTCTAATATATTTCTAAGGTCTGGAAACATTGGTCGAAAAAGTGTCCCGTTATTTGAGGATAAAACAGGGTTCCTAAAACGGCCGATAGGAGGCGATGTTGTAAAGGACCATGGTTTTTTGTGTACAAATTATATAGAATTAGCATTAAGAAAGCTATATTCAAACTAAAAATAGATACAAAATATAAAAATATACTTAAATCAGCGATGATTTTGTTGTAAACATCATGCCTCGCGTATCTTCGGTTAATGTATTTCTCCATTTTCTCCTCGAAATGTCAAATAATAATTTTTAACACTTGACAGCTTGAACTGTCGTTTCACACAATCGCGATTTATATGTAGCGCGACGCTGATTGGCTGAGATAAGTTGGTCCTCCGATCGTTCGCCACCTTGCGGGGCAAAAGTGAAGCTCAAAAAGTCCTCAAATAACGGTACACATTCTCTAATGCATATGCATAGGGAGATTCCAGACCTTAGAAATATAGGGTCGTGGGGAAAAGGGATAAGTACCTTTGGTCGCGACAAACGCAATGGGCGGCCGTGAGGATGTACTTCGCGTTGAGGATGGTACCGCCGCATATGTGGCTGTTTAGCTTCCTGAGGGAGACCTGGATGGATTTTATTTTGAGAAAATCGAAGAGTGTGATGTAATCACGGTCGTATATATAACAGGTGAGGAAACTCTTGTGGATTCGAGGGGATGCCGCGACTCTCGACAGAGGGCGCTGGTGTTTCTAGACCTCACTAGACCTTTATCTATAAGACCGTGGGTGTAAGAGATATATTTACCGCGTAAGGAAATTCTCCTTCTTTTGCATCTGATCCGTTTACCACCCTGCTGTTTGCTGTAAAAAAAGACAAGAACTTTGCACTATGCTCGATTCTATGAGTTGAACAAAGAAAGACTATTCGTCAAAAGTTGCAATGATACAATATATCGCTCTTTCTTTATCCTTCATATGAGACTAATAGTAGTTGTCATTGTTGCACAAATTTGCACACTGAATATACATACCGTAAACTGTATTTATGATTAAGTGAAAAAACAGGATTGACTTGAACATGATTGCACCAAAATGGTTGCTGGTTTGAATTAATGTTCATTTATATTGCATTAAATGCACCTGCTTGGAATATTTATTTCGGAATTAGACGATTTCAAATTAGGTTTCTAAGTTTTGAGATAAGCAATTAGGTTGCATATATTTAGTTCGGTAATTTGTATATCTGATTATACGTCTATTTCGTTTAAAAATTAGGCTCACGTACAAGTAAAAAGTAATTTAATCAATCCACAATAATTACACAAGCAATCAAATCAATTAATATATCCTGCTAGGAGTTCAGAGTCGGAACCACAAGGTTCGAAATCGCCTAAAAAGGTTCCAACTAAGTCCTCAAAAGAGAAAGGATTAATCAGCAGTTCGGGGTTTCTTCATAAAATATGGATAAATTTTCATCATATCTTGTTCTTTCTTTTTTCAATGCTACCCTTCTTCTTCTTTTTCGTTCTGAGGCCTGAGATATTTAGGCTATTCATTAACCCATTAAACTGCAAAGAAGAATAGAATAGACAACTGACATCTGACATATAAACATAACCTAACTTAATTCTAACAAAAGCGTAATTTTTAGCATCTATATTTTTAGAGAATTAAGTACTAAACGGTGTTGTATCAATAAATATAATTAAATAATGGCCCGAAACGCGGAAAAGGCAATGTAAGTAGTACAAATTTACCTTTTATTTTTCTTCTTACATTTCTATAAATTCGTTGTGTTACAGGACAACATTGGCCAGATGGAGGGCGGCCCAATTGGGGGAAATCGACAAGCACAAGAAGCGCCGTCCGTATTTGGCCTCCGAATGCAAGAGCCTGTACGCCTGCGAGAAATGGCGCATGCAGATAATCAGAGAAATAGCGAAAAAAGTGGCCCAAATCCAGAACGCCGGACTGGGCGAGTTCCGCATACGCGATCTAAACGACGAAATCAACAAACTCCTGCGCGAGAAGCGCCATTGGGAGGACCAAATTAAGGAATTGGGGGGGCCCGATTACCAGCGCGTCGGGCCCCGGATGCTCGACCACGAGGGCAAAGAGGTGCCCGGCAACAGGGGCTACAAATACTTCGGGGCCGCCAAGGAATTGCCAGGTATTTAATTTAATAAGCGAAATTTTTTACACATTTCCTAATAAGTTGTTTGATGGACTTTGCCCGTTCGTTTGGTTTGAACAGAACTACAACACGAATTGAGAAACTTTCGTTATTTCGACAAATTTGTGGTTTTTTAATGGACGGGAATAAAAGAATAATACGCAAAAATACAGGGTGTTAATTAATTGAATGTCTATACTTCAGGATGTGAATATTTGGATGATTTTAAGAAGAAAAGTTTATATCAATGTATGTCCTAAACCTCTTAGTTTTCGAGTGTCAAACTGTCAAACTTGTCATTTCCGTTACTACGCGACATGTTGACATTTAATTTGATGTACAGGGTGTGTTTTTTTTTCATAGAAATCGAAAAAATTGATGTATGGGGCGTTTATTTTAATCTCAAGTGAAAAATTATTCTAAATAAAACAACGTTAATAAGTTTAGGAAAATCGTAGGAACAGATCGCACTAAACCGACTGCATTTATTATCAATAATCAATGAAAAACAAAAAAAAAACCGGACGAAATTACAATTAAAACTCAATTGCGCTTTTTACATTAAAAATCTTTTCAGGCGTCCGAGAGCTGTTCGAACAGGAACCGCCGCCTCCGCCTCGAAAGAGCCGAGCCGAACTGATGAAGGACATCGATGCCGATTACTACGGTTACATGGACGACGACGACGGGATTTTGATACCGTTGGAGATCAAAGCTGAAAAAATCGGTATGAAATTAACCACAAACATTCCAATTAAGGCCGCCAAAGCACTCCCTCAAATTTATAATTCGTTGGGTAATATAGAACTATTTTTAGTTAAATTTTTCTACAATAGATGGGATGAGATTAGTTTAACTCGCTAGTAGATGTTCCGTGTGTTTGATTACACTTGGCCTAAAATTAAACGTACAAGAAAGTAAAATAAGAAATCCTTTTCGGAATTTTTTAAATTCAATTCTCTTCCCTGCAATTTGAAAAGATAAAAATAGGGTTTTGAAAATGCTCATTAAAGTGCCCTAAAAGTATACCGGTGCACTGGAAAAATCTTATTTCATATTACCTGTCCTTAAGGGCGCCACTTCAGGGTATTTTTAAATGGGAAAACATTGGTTCAGTAATTCCAGTAAGATTTAAATTTTGCTTCATCAATTGATTTGAATCTTTCTTATAACTAATATAGAGACTCCAATCAATGATATCTCCTATTTTTAATCTCTACTACTTCATTGTATATTTAAGAAAATTGCAATAAAAAACTGCCATTTATTTGCAATGCTATTTAAATGGCAAAACTTAATTCCAGTAAGACTCGAGTTTCCTCGAATGGATTTGTGAATAATTTTAGTAGGATGAAGAATACTTATTACAGAACGATGTCTCCTAATTTATATTGATCCACAGGCTGTATTAAATTAAAAAAAAACCTAATTAAAGTATTTTTAATTAAGTAGAGATTAAAAATAGGAGATACCATTACTCGAAGTCTCTATATTAGTTACAAGGAAGATTCAAATCAATCGATGAAGCCAAATTAAAATCTTACTGGAATTACCGAACCTATATTATCCCATTTAAAAACACCCTCAAGTGACGCCCGTAAAGCATTTTATTAAATTCCATATTTCCACAGCCGTCCAAAACGCCATCACCGAATGGGTGAACAACAAAGAGAAGAACCTCGACTCGAGCAAAACCATCGAAGAGAGCATCTACGCGGTGGAGGATTCCGACGAGGAGGAGACCGTCGAACGATTCGACGGTTCCCAACAGCGGTTCGTCGCCCACGTACCGGTACCCTCTCAACAGGACATCGAACAGGCCCTGTTGAGGCGCAGGAAGCAGGAATTGATGGAGAAATACGGCGTACAAGACGAACAAGATGTCTAATATTAACATTGCATTAAAGTATTTTTTTTTATTACCTGCCTTATTCGGGTTTCAGTATTCCCCTGCAGATTAACGTGAATTCCAATACGGTATCCGATACTTTTCTTTTGTTGGTCTTTTCCCTAAAACGAATCGTTTAATAGTTTGTTAATAAAAAAAAGGGTATTGTAAAGTTAGTACGTTTTTGAAATGACAAGTATTTAATGAGTTTCGACTATAATTTGTTACTTTTGTGATTTGCCCGGCGATTTTTGCCCATTCTAAATGGGTCTAGATAGCTTTAAATAATCCTGGACAGTTCTAAATGACTTTGGAGCGTCCTAAAATGACTTTGGAGCGTTCTAAAAGATTCTGGAGCGTTCTAAAAGATTCTGGAGCGTCCTAAAATGATTTGGGAGCGTTCTAAATGATACTACACGGTTCTAAATAATATTCTGGAGCATTCTGAATGATACTACACGGTCCTAAATGATTCTGGTGCGTTTGAAATGATTCTGGAGCATTCTAAATGGTTCTAGATAGTTCTAAATAATTCTAGACAGTTCAAAATGATTCTGGAGCATTCTAAATGATACTACACGGTTCTAAATGATTCTGGTGCGTTTGAAATGAATCTGGACAGTTTCAAATGATTCCCAGCGATTTTTCCCTTTATCCTGTCCGAAAAGGATTTCAATGACAATCAGGCAACGTGGCAACCGGACAGGCTCGTGACGTCGTTTGTCATTTTAAAACGTACAAACTTTACGAAGATATCGGGTTTTATTTTACCTTAAAATCGATTTAACGAACGCCTCCTTTTGCGCCGACGTAATCCTGGTCGATGGGAAACCCTCTTGGGCCAACAGGGCGTTCAGCCACCTTGTCAAATTATCACAGTATTTCTTATTCAACGCCAATAAGATGTCGCTGAAAATGTCCACCGACGATCTCGGAGCCGTACTTCCTGTACGACGAAACAAACGTTCGTAAAAAAAAAAAATAATACAGATCGGTAAAACTTACCTAAATTCATGAGTACCCTTAACACTAAACTTTCGCCGTAGGTTTGAATCACCTGCGCCATGGAGGTCTCCCTGCTCTGCGATATGAATTGCACCAGGAAGCTGGCGACCTGCTTCAAGGCTTGGATCTCCGGTAAACCGAGGCACAAAATCGCTACAACAACAATGTTGATTGCTTAGATCATATACACCTTGCTCCGTTTCCGATTGCAACATGGTCATTTCTATGAGTGGAACAAAGAAAGATTATTAAAATGACAGTTGTCAGAGTGAAAAGTTGCAATGACACAAATCAGTCACTCTTTCCTTTTCCTTTATAAGTGTCTAATGGAAGTTGTCTTTATCGCACCCATAGCCTATGTTGCAATCAAAAATTGAGCAACCTGTATACTAACGTGGATGCATCAATGCCATAAGAATTACATTTACGTTAATGTTGCCAACATCCACAACATGCCTAAATTATACTCTCTTTTTTTGCTCTATGGAATTCAGCATAGATTTATCTTTGTTTCGGTCTGCCTTGTTCCACATAGAAATGACCATGTTGCAATCGGTAATGGAGCACAGTGTATATGATCTAAGGTTGATTGTTATCTCGTTATAAGAAGATAAGATGTGATTACCGCATTGGAACAAAGCGGCGACATCGACGCCGCAATTCGTCATCAACAGCGGCACTTTTTTCGCCAAAGCGGCGAGCAACGAGAAGAACCCTTCGAGCACGTCCGATCTATCGGATAGTTGATCGTTCGCTTGGCATTCGGCGCACATTTGCATCGTCCTCGAACACAATTCGAACAACAATTGATTGTTCAACGCGAACAAATCCTCTTCTTTGCCGAACAGTATCAACACCTGTGCGAGATATAAGGATTTCTATAAATTCTCGTACGAATTTTAAATGTTACAAAACGGGTATAAGATGAAGATGAACAGTTCTATCGGCCTGATGATGAAAGTTGGCGATTTTCGATTTGAAAAATTACGTTATTCTTCTTGTTAAGTCGAAATATTTAGGTCGATCAGAACTAAACGATTCTGGAGCGTCCTAAAATGACTTTGGAGCGTTCCAAATGGTTCTTTCTTGGCAATTCTAAATGATTCTGGAGCGTTCTGAAGAGTTTTAGATCGTTGTAGACAGTTCTAAATGATTCTGGAGCGTTTTGAATGACTAGGGAGCGTTCTAAATTGTTCTAGACAACTCAAAATGATTCTGGAGCGTTCTAAATGGTTCTTTCTAGGCAATTCTAAATGATTCTGCAGCGTTCTGAATGGTTCTGAAGCGTTCTAGATTGTTGTAGACAGTTCTAAATGATTCTGGAGCGTCCTAAAATGGCTTTGGAGCGTTCCAAATGGTTCTTTCTAGGCAATTCTAAATGATTCTGGAGCGTTCTGAATGGTTCTGAAGCGTTCTAGATCGTTGTAGACAGTTCTAAATGATTATGGAGCGTTCTGAATGATTCTGAAGCGTTCTAGATAATTGTAGACAGTTCTTAAATGATTCTGGGGCGTTCTAGATAGTTCTAGACTGGACAGTTCTAAATGATTCAGACCGAGAACTCTTCACCCTACCCTCGTACATACATTTACTTACCGTTTTCGCTACGGTAAGTACATTAGATTGCGGACACGCCCTGTATATGGTCACTACGAGTTGGAGTATGTCGTTTATCAACGGTTTGCAATCGTCTTTCAACGTTGTGATGCCGAATTTGAACACGACGCTTAAATCCTACCGAAATGAAATAACTTGATTACGAGCGGCTTTTCTACGATATACAGGGTGTTCATAAACATCGTGTAAATCTAAAAGGGGGTGATTCCTTGGCTTATTTTATGACTAAAAGTTTATATTAACGTAGGTCCGCAAAGGCTTCGTAATCACCCCCTTTCGAATGTACACGATGTTTAGGAACACCCTGTATAATACCAATCGATCGACTCACTTCGATCACTTCGGTATTCATGCAATACTTCTCGCCGATGCGCCGAAACAACGGCATCATTTTCTCGATCACCACGAGAATGGGTTGCTCGATTTTCGCGTCGTCGTCTTCGACGTGCAACGAACTGAACAGGGCCGCAATCAATTTCAGTCTTGTGATCAGGGAATTCGTCACCGTGGGACTCTAAAAAAAACGAACGAAATTCATCAATTCGCACTGTGGGACTCTAAAAAAAAAACGACCGAACGGAATTCGATCGATTCGAGCCGGCTCGTCGCTAATCGTTCCGATACTCACCGGTTCGGCTTCGCTAAATTTCTGCAGATCCTCGAAGGAAGGGGCCAGGATCATGTTCAAATATCCCATGATCCTGTCGACGGGCAACGTGCTCAATACGCGACCCACGCTGTACATTAGTCTCCTTCGTTCGGCTAGTTTGAGGCAACCGTTCGTCAAGACGGTCTGAAATAAATAAAATAAACATTAATCTAATGGAGAGGAGTACGATGTGAGATAATATGCGGTTTTTAATCGGATATGTGAATAGAAATAAGTCGTTAGAAGTCGAAAGCAGTTTTCGGTTGCTGAAATTATTCAATATTTTAGGAAATATAGCCATTTTTAAATTTCAAATTTTGACAATTGACGTTTAAAGTCGCTAACCAATCACAAAACGAACGTGTCATTAGTGGCGTAAGAATTCGAACAAACTGTTCGGAAGAGTAGAAGAAACGAACAAAAGTCAAATATAACATCAAATGACAGATGACATATCCAGGGTTAGGTTATTGTAATTTTTTTGTTTTAAGTTTTAAAAAATAAACACTTTTTTTAGAATACAATGAAGAATGTTCACAAAACGACATGAACCAAGTTTTAACTACTTTCGGAGGCGACATTTTAAAATTGTAAAACTAACTAAACTTAGTAAATAAACTACAATAGCTCAAAAAAAGAAACATAAAAATTTTTTGAAATTTCAACACCGTGTAGATCAAACACGAAGCGTTTCCGGACCCACATTTATATAAACTTTTAGTCATAAAACAAGCCAACGAATCACCCCCTTTCGCATGTACACGACATTCACCAACACCCCGTACAAACATACCTGCGAAGCCATCAGAATATGCTCCCCGTACCGAGCCAAATACTTCTGGCAATTGTGCGTGATATCCTTCAGCGCCATCGTGGCGCTCGTCGACACCTCGGGATTCCCCAAACCGCTCAAAATCAACGGGAAAATGTTCTCCAACAAATCCGGATGATCCGCGAACCATTCGGAAAACGAACCGACCGTCTCCAAAGCCGTGGCCATCACGCGCACGTGCAACTCCCCGAACGGTATCCCTTTGATAGTAGCCATCAACTTCGGCAGGTACAAATTCTCGTACTCCACGTTCTCGGCCACGGCCCCGAAGGCGTGCAGCACGGTTTCGATTTCGTTCCAACGGGGCGTCTCCGAGCGCAGGGCCTCGTCCAGCTTGGTCATCAGTATGTCGAGCATCTCGAGGTTGAGCACCACGTAGCAGTACATGAAGGTGTCGGCGATGTCCTGGCGGTAGCATCGGAACACCTCCTTGTCCTCCAACGTCCAGGCGTCGTCCTCGCCGATGGGGAACATGGATTTTCTCAGCATGACGCAGACGAGGTCGCGATAGTAGGGTTTGATTTGGAGGATCAGCGAGGCGCAGTCGGGCGCGTCCAAGGATATCACGTCGTCCTGTAACGTGGAGTTTATTCAGTCAAGAACTGTGTAGGGTGTTGGTTAATAAGTGAGATAAAATTTAAATTCCGGGGGGTGAATCTGTTGAAGTTTCTTAACTACTAGATAACTTAATATAGTTACTTCTCAAAAGGTATTTCAAATATCTCATCTGGTTTTAGAGAAATATACTGCTCCACAAAAGTTAAGAAAGTTCACAAATATTGAGATTAATTTAAAAGTTGCAGGTTTTTTGATCGGCAAATTTAATATGAGTTGTAGGGGTAGAGGCAAAAAATCCACTCAGATATGAGAGGAAACATTTAATTTCGCATATTTGAAAATTTGGTGATCAAAAAGTCTGTAACATTTAAATAAATCGCAAAATTTGCGAACTTCCTTGACTTTTGCAGAGCAGTTTAAATAAATCTTCCGTTTTTAACAGGAAACTTTAAGGGCCCCACTTCGGGGTATTTTTAAATGGGAAATATAGGTTCAATAATTCCAGTAAGATTCAAATTTGGCTTCATTAATTGATTTGAATCTTTCTTATACCTAATATAGAGACTCCAAGCAATGATATCTCCTATTTTTAATCTCTCCTACTTCATTATATATTTAAGAAAATTGCAATCAAAAACTGCCATTTATTTGCAATGTTATTTAAATGGCAAAACGTAATTCTAGTAAGACTCGAGTTTCCTCGAACGGATTTGTGAATAATTTTAGTAGGATGAAGAATATTTATTACAGAACGATGTCTCCTAGTTTATATTTATCCGCAGGGTGTATTAAATTGAAAAAAAAACTAATTAAAGTATTTTAGCAAATGATGATGATAGATTCCTGTAAATTATGGTGTCGCCTGACATAAATGTCAAATCACAGAACAATTTTGTAAATTTTGACAAGCGACAGGTGCCAAAAGTTTCCGTTTTTCAGATATTTTTGGATAATTTGCATTTTTTTAAGGACAGGTAATATGAAATAAGGTATTTCCAGTGCACCGGAATACTTTTAGACACTTTAATGAGTATTTTTAAAACCCTACTTTTATCTTTTCAAATTGCATGAAAGAGAATTGAATTAAAAAAATTCTGAAAAGGATTTCTTATTTGACTTTCTTGTACGTTTGATTTTATGTCAAATGTAATCAAACACGGAACATCTACTAGTGAGTTAAACTAATCTCATCCCATCTATTGTGGAAAAATTTTACCAAAAATAGTTCTATATTACCCCACGAATTATGAATTTAAGGGCGTGCTTTGGTGGCCTTAAAAAGAAACTTAAACACCCCGTATCTCCAAAACGAAGCATTTCCAGACATGCGTTTATATAGCAAAATATCTTAATTTTTTCAAGCAGAATCACCCCCTGAAATTCGCCTCACTTATTAATTAAACACCCCGTATTTAAATGAGGATTTGTTCGTTTACTTGCAAGGTGTACCAAAAGCCGAAGGTGAGAGTGCTGCTCGACTCGTCGACGGGATACAATCCGGGCAAATTCGTGCATTTCAATATGAAATTCAACAAATCGAAGCTGACCCTTCGCTCGTCCGCGTCCTGAGACTTTAAATTGTCGATGAATATCTTCGAATGCGAATCGCCTATCGTTATCACCAGCCCGTATAAGGTAGCTACGATATCCTACAAAAAAAAAACGATAATAAATATACAGGGTGTGACATAATGGCATGTTTATATGTAAGGGGTTGATTCTTGGATTCATTTTAAGTACAAATGAATGCGTTTATTTTTTTTAAAGCGAAACGATGAGTCGTACGGAAAAAAGTCAAGACATCAAATTTGCTCTAAATCGAATGAGGATTCCGAAAATAATTTTTAATTCAATATTAGACAGTGGCGTACCATTTTTTTCTCCGAAAATATTCAATGCAAAACCCGTACGGACGCCACTGCTGAAAATAATCAAATTATTTGTACACCAGATAATGCATCTTGATTCATAGAAGAAGTGTACCAAATTTCATTAAGATATCTACAATAGTATCACAATTATTACAAAAATTCGATTTTTTTTCTCAAAACTTTAACACCCCGTATCTCAAGAATTAAGACATTTAGGACACAGGATCATATGAAGTTTTTTTGTTAAAATACGCCCAAAAATCACCTCCTTATATATTAGCATGTAATTTTTGAAGTATTGTAGTATTTAATACTTTGTTCATGTCCTGTTGGTTGCGTTCGACGTCCAAAATCTTATCGAACTTCTCCAAAATCTGGGCGGCGTATTTGAACACGTGCGTTTTGTATTTGTGCGTGTGCGGATGTTGGAAAACGGCCGTCAGGGCTTCCACGGTCACTTCGATCAGATCCATTTCGTCGCACGATAAACCCTCCGGGTCCGATTTGTTCCTTTAAAACGAACAGTTTTTTTAACAACATTTCATTTCTAACGTTTCTCTGTAGTTACCAGTAGACGAAGCAAGTTAGATCTATCAATAGATTGTTCACCGATGTACAATCTTCGATGGTTAAACTGCCTAATTGTATCCAAGCCGAAGCGCATCGAGCAGCGTTTAAATAAGTCGTTAAATTGCACATGTTGAATCTAAAATAAAACGATTAGTAAATACTTTATTATTATAGATATACCTGGTGTCCAGAAAATAGAAGTCAATAACTCGCGAGCCTATAAATGACCAAATTGGGCACACGGGTGTAGGTAATAAACCACAAAAATTTTATATTGTTCCCATGTATAACTTGGAAATAAAAACGTAAAAATAAGTTTTAAAATTTCAACTTTAAAAGCCTCTAACTCAAAAATAGGGGGCTCAAATTAATAAAATTTATATGAAGTTGTACCCTTATTTTGATGTCATCTATACGCTCCCGAATTATTGACATCTATTTTCTGGAGACACCCTGTATTTCAAATTACCCGGCGGCTGGTAGAGGCATCAGGCACATCTCGACAACTTTCAATATATCCTTCGATACATCTTGCAGCACCACCCTGACTCTATTTCTTTGGTTCAATGCCAGAGTCGTTCGTTGGAACTATCGATAAACTTTCATATTAATTAAAGGCGGGAGAAAATTTAAAAAGCCACCTACCTCTTCGGGTATCACAGTTAAAATTTCCAGCAGTATCCAAATCACCCGTTCGGGCTCGACGTTGGGCAAGTACTGCGGCTGGAAGCTGGAGACTAATTCCTCGAAGGCCTTCGGCCAATGCGTGGGTACCGTGTGGATTATGTAGGCGGATAGCTGCGATGTTAAAGCTTTATTTATTTAAATACAAAAGGGGTATCTACGTACGGTGATGCACAATCGATTGAGGATGATCTTGGGCCCCATGGCGTAGCTGATGATCGATTCGAGGATGCGCGTCTTGAGGAATTCGTAGTGGTCCTCCGGTATTTCGTTCCAGTGCTTCATGAGCTTGGCGTGCAGGGTGGTGGCGGCGAAGAATTGCACTTCGGAGCTCTGCGAATGGGACTTTGTACGATTAGTAAGTGTATTTAGGGTAGTTGGTGTTGATTGGATTACCCGTTGCGGGGTGAGTAGCTCCCAGACGAAGCTCCAGGCGGAAGGGGAGTTCTGGGCCTCCGTTAGCCATTGGTGGGCCTCGGCTTGTTGTTGGGCTTCGGAGCGGTAGAATAGCGTGACGGCTTTTTCTAGATTGTCCGCCGTGAATTCCATGTTTCGATCGCTTGGAGTCGTAGTGTTTGTGTTAAAAAAAAGAACCGATAAACAACTTTTGGTAAATCTCTACATTCTTGCGAAAACGAAAATATTTTGACGTTTGGATTCGGCCTTGTACTTCGTTGTAATGTCGGCATATCTGTCACGTGTCATGTCATTGATCATGTGATAGAATTTGCACGAATTTGAGAGTTTTGTTACTTACAGGAAATATCAACAAATACTACAACCTCATACAGAAAATATAAATATTTTTTATTTCTCAATTTGTGCAATTTTCGAAGACAAGGGTGTTATTTATTTTGGCTAGTCTCAAAAAGAGTAAAAAAGAAGAAAATTCATCTGTCAAATGTCACACATGTAAATATTGTTTAGATCTCAAAAATTGTAGAAGCTGATTGATGAGGTGGTCAATCAACAACTCAATTACACTTTTCACTTTATTATAATAATATTTTGCACAAAAAGTAAACGTGAACAAATAATAAACTTATTTAGCGGGAGCGCGAGAGAGAAATTCGACCTTGACAAAAATGACAGGTGAAGTCTTTCATTCCTCTTTTCACATTGTCCGCGACAGTGACTGGGCAACCAGCCACCACGAAAACACCCATTAGCTCGCTCCGAATTCTCACACTTAAAAATTATACATGAAATATTTAACTCTCGTCTAGGATAATTTAGGAAATTACCCGGCAGTATTATTAGCACTTTTCGTTTCATTTTAAATTCCACATTAAAGGCGTCTCCACGAATCCAATATTCCGATTTAATGAGCCACAAATTACCGACTCCCCTTTGATCTCTACCACACGCCAACGCCTCATGAATTAATCCACAAACACCACATATATAAAAGAAGAAATGTCCAAGCAAAAACCCCTCAATTCAAACCAAACATGCCCGACTCATACCCCGAAGATTTCTTCGTCGTCAACCGATGGATATTAAAATTCGCCGGCATGTGGCGACCAGACACCGACAACGTCATCATACAAGCCCTATACACGACCTACGTCATCGGGATATTCCTCTTCGTCAACATCTTCTTCACCTCCACCGAATTCCTCAGCCTGCTCTACACCTACGGCAACGAATACGATTTGATCAAGAACATCAGCTTCGCCTTGACGCACCTCATGGGCGCCGTTAAAGTACCCCCAACAGCACCTCCTCTATTCCTCACCTCGAATTCTCTTTCCCTTTTCTACTCACGTAGATGGTAAAGGAGCGAGAGTTCGTTGGTGAGTAATAGGTCCGTTATAGAGACACAACGCGCTTCTTCCAGGTGGTTTTCTTCTACTACCAAGGGCGCAACCTCAAGTCCATCATGAGCACGCTGGAGAGCGACGAGTTGCGCTACGAGTCCTGCGAGAAATCCGGGTTCTTCCCCGGTTTAGTGGCGAAATCGTACAAGCGCACCGGCATCAAGTACACCGTGATATTCTTCATGATGGCCCACGCCACCTTGACTTCCTCTTATCTACCGCCTACTATAGCGGCTCTGAAATACAACGAGGACGATCCGGAGAGCCTCCTGCCCGACAGGCTGCCCTACTACAGCTGGATGCCCTTCGGATTCGACACCGCTGGGACTTACTTAATCGCTTTGGGTTACCAAGCTATACCTATGTTCTCTTACGCTTACAGGTAAGAGGGTTTTACAGCACGTTATGTTGTCTTCTGCGAAACGATTTGCTCCGTTTAAGCCTGCTTAGAGGCTGCTCTAAAACGGTATCGTTTGTGCGGCAGCATCGTCGGTATGGACACTCTGTTCATGAACATAATGAATTGCGTCGGAATGAATTTGGAGATCATCCAAGGGGCTTTCCTTTCGATTCGCGATAGATCGTTGGAGAAAATCGACGGGGCTCCGTTGACTGCGGACGGATTGTACAACACGGCCGCTTTGAATGGCGTCATGAGAGCGGAGATGAGGAAAATCAGCAAACATTTGCAGACCGTTTACAGGTATTATGTTGATCGATGTATTGATGGGTTGAAATCGAGTAAAACGATCGGATTTTTTTAGGATGTGCGAACGATTGGAAGACGTCCACAAGTTTCTGACGCTCGCTCAAACCGTCGCTACTCTATTTATAATATGCTCTTGTTTGTATTTAGTATCGTCGGTAAGTTGAACGAAGAAAGATGATGATTAAAACAACAGTGGGTTAGAGTAAGAAAGTTGCAAGTCTCCTCACAACATATTACTCGTTATTTAGGCTACAAATGTGCCTTTACAAAGACAAATATTTGCCTTTACAAAGGCACTTACCTACAAATTTGTATTTACTCGTCTACATATTAGTGTTAGATGCCTAGGTAAGGGTTTATCTGGATCTGTCCGGTCAAATCTGTCTAGAATCATTGAGAAGGCTCCAGAATCACTTAGAACTGTCTAAAACCATTCAGAACGCTTCAGAACCAATTAGAACCAAAGATTAAGGAGAACAATACAATTTTTCAACATCCTACACCTAGGTATCTTACCGCAACATTATAATGATAATAAACGATTCCAGACGCCGATAGGCAGCAAAGCATTCCTAGCGGAAATAGTCTACCTAATAGCCATGGGTTTCCAATTGACCCTCTACTGTTGGTTCGGCAACGAAGTCACTCTAAAAGCCAACGAAATGCCGTTCTACATATGGCAATGCGATTGGCTGACGGCCGACGACGATTTCAAGAAATCCATGATCATGAGCATGGCCAGATCGAAGAAACCCGTCTATCTAACGGCCGGCAAATTCGCCCCTCTCACTCTACCCACCTTCGTAGCAGTAAGTATCAGACACGAGAAAGAACATTCACTCGTTAAATTCATTTTTACAGATACTGAAAGCTTCGTACTCGTTCTTCGCAGTCATCAAAAACACCAGCGAGTAGAATCCACTACGAAAACACAACGGTATAATATATCTTCAACTTAGAGCATAAATATATGAGCAGCATACGTAATCAGACTTTCTTCACCGTATCGTACACATCGAGTCGCCTTTGCTCGAAAATGGGTATTTGCTGTCGGACCGCATCGCATTGGGCCGTATCGATATCGGCGTAGATGATCTCCTCGTGTTCCTTGGCCTGCGCTAGGACTTTGCCCCAGGGATCGGTGATCTGCGAGTAGCCGTAGGCCCTGTAGCCTTTGGCGGAGCGCGCGGGGCTCACGGCGCACACGAACACCTGATTATCGGCGGCCCGGGCGCGCTGGAGCAGCTCGAAGTGCATGGGGCCCGTGGTCGTGTTAAAAGCGCCTACGAACGAGTGTTACTACGATTCGATTAGTGGTCTCGAAGGGGTTATTTACCTGGGTAAACGAGCATGTTGCAACCGAGCAGCCGGTATAATTTAGCGAGTTCCTCGAAGCGCAAGTCGTAGCACACCCCCAAGCCGATTTTGACGTCGTGCATATCGAAGGTAACCGGTTGGTTACCGGCCGAAAGTATATCGGACTCTTTGAAGGTTATTTTGCCGGGTATGTCGATGTCGAAGAGGTGCATTTTGCGGAATTTGGCGATCAAATCGCCGTCGGGGTTCCACACGGTGCAGGTGTTGTAGAACTTCTGGTTGTCTTTGTCGATCTCCGGGAGGGTGCCACCGATTAGGTAGACGGAATGGTCTCGGGCGGCTTTGGAGAGGGCCTCGCAGGTGCGGCCCTGCGGCACCGATTCGGCGTATTGTTTGAAGAAATTCACGCCGTAGGGGGAGTTGAAGCATTCGGGTAGGGCGATTAGTTCGGCGCCCGATTCTTTGGCTTGGGCGATGTGCTTGGCGGCGTTGTCGAGGTTTTTCGTTAGGTCGGCGCCCACTTGCATTTGGATCAAGGCCGTTCTGAAGCACCTCATGTTCGTTGCGGGTTGGAATTCGGTGTAATTTACATAAAAAAAAGTAAATATTAAAATTAGGTTAGATAAGCGAATGTCATTGTTTGACGTAAATGTCAGTGACGGATAGTCTCTACCTAAAGCATCGCTCAGCCAATGACAGAAGTGAGAAAAGAAGAAGAAGAATTAGTTCACCTTTTTTCGATAATAAATCTAAGAAACATGTCAATAGGGCATTTTTAAATCCTTGTATTTTCGTATTTTCGATAATACACCTTGCTCCATTTCCGATTGCAACATGGTCATTTCTATGAGTGGAACAAAGAAAGACTATTAAAATGACAGTTGTCAGAGTGAAAAGTTGCAATGACACAAATGTCACTCTTTCCTCTTCCTTTGTAATTGTCTATCAAAAATGGAGCAACCTGTATATCTTTTCTTTGAGAGAAGTTTATAAATTTGGCAGCAATAGAAAGTGACCGTATGTCAAATAGCTGAAATGTCAAATGTGGCCTTTTGTCATGTACGCATCCAGTCAATCGGACAAACGAACGGTCTTTGGAAATTCAAATGGGTTGAAATAGGAAGAGAAACCATATCGTTGTCTTTTTTGGACAAGTACTTCACAGGCGAGTTTGGACCTTATGATCCTTGCAACTTGCAAGTTCCTCTCTCTATAGGAAAAGTAATCGTAAAATCAATTTTGACAAATTAAACGAAAAAAAAAATCGGAAATAGTTAAACAACATTTTAGTATCTAATAATATTTTCCGGCCTTCGGAATTTCCGCTTATTAGAAGCAACAGCTTTTCGTCCGATGGCCTATCGATTTTCCTCGAAGCAGAAAAATCCGCCGCCCGGTTCCAGGCCATTATTTACCCGATTACGAGCCGTTACTAATGCCCCCGTATTCGGATGGAGATTAAATTGTTTTTCATTTCGTTAAAACGCCTATATACTTTTCCTTTGTGCTCCTCTCTCTCCGCCTAGCCGGCGAAAAAATACCCGAAAAGGAATCGAATAAATCCAAAACGGATTGCATTCGAATCGAATTCCGATTAGTTTCGCGTTAATTCGGAATTCGGGGGGATTTTGTATAATAAGTAGGCCGTGAACTGTCAAATTCTATTTAATCGCGACCTTTCACTATTCGGATAACCAACCAACATTTCTTTTTACTGTTATTCAAATGTAGATTTTCTCCTCCCTATTCCATCTAGTAGGTAGTAATACAAACCCCCAACACCCCAACAAACAAGAGATAAAAACCCAAAGTGATATATACACCTTTTATTCGAATGTTTATTTCTTTTAGCGCGTTCCATTTGTTACCGGGCCAATGCTCTTAATCGTTCCCTCCCGCTTTAGCTTCGTATAGGCGGAGAACACATTTAAAACTATATAAGCGTATTTTATCGCCCGCTAGATGGAGTTCGGTCTTTAATTCGGCCCCCTTGAAACCCGTAAAACACCGCGTAAAATCACTCGACGGGTTGTATAAAAGCTCCACACTTCTTTTTTTTATCTTCTTAACGTTTAAAACAAACAGCAAACAAACGTCAATATTTGCACCGAATAGTCCGGTTAGTCGAGGCCATATTCAACGCAAACTTTCAGATCGATATACGTCAATGTCTCGGGGGGATTCGGAAAAGCCCGTTCGAACTCGAGAGCTTTAAATTTCCCCGATGAAACTCCCGAGGATAATTCTCCCAGGGTGCAGATTGTTAATGTTTTGCGCGAAGACAGTTCGCTCAGTCTCGTGCACAAAGGGGTGTTATAGGTGAGAGAGAACGAGAGTGATTTATCGGTATCCAAACATCCCGGCACTCTTGATAATATATCGCCGGGCGAACTTATCCAGTAATAAACCGGAACGAACTCACAACTCGCCCCGATTCCGCGATTAATTACACCCCGAAATCCTAATTAACTTTCGAAGAATTTCCCCCCAAACAATCAACCGTCACTACTGTCAAACGTCACGACTGTCAGATTTGATCAAAGTGACATATAAACTCTCTTTCTCTCGCTCGTTTAACTCCTACACGTTAAGTGGAAAGGGTAAATAGACCGCGAATGCGTGGGGGCGAGAGGGGTCGGGTTATTCGACAATCACCTTTCGGCGCTCGGGGAATGGAAATAAAATCATTTCGAAAAGCTAAACTTTACTTCAACGCCGGCTTAACTTATCCAATTAAAGCTCCGCGCGCGCTCTCCCCCTTTCTCTCCTCTCTCTCCCGTCATTTATATCGGGGACTAACGAGCTCCGGCGACACGAACTGATAAAGAAAGCTCTTCTCTCATTAACTTTCGAGAACCTAATTCCGGCTTGTGTATCTGCAGGTTTCTATCGGAGCCGTTAGGGGCGAGCGGGGCACGTAAAACATGTTAAAATTAAGCCGTTTAATGCGAATAATAAAATCACAATTTATGGTAGTAATCGGCGCCGTTTTGGATGAAACAAGCCCACATCTGGTTGGCCGTTTTCCCGGCGTTTTCCGCCCGTTTCGAGCACTTTTCCACCACCCCCTCCACCAACGACGGTTGCACAGCCAAGCCGATTTTGATCCTCATGGTGGGCGGATTCAAATCGCCGTTGGGCAGTTGCAGGCCCGCTTTGATCGCCATGCAGCTCATGTGGATCCCCACCTGGCTGTCGTCGAGGTTGCTCAGCAAATTTCTCAGCTTGTTCTCGTCGCAGTAGGTCGCGGGATTCGATTGACAGCTGTCGTGGACTTGTTTCAGGAAGCGCACTTCGCTAGCCGGCAGCGCCGCCTGGAATTAATCAGAAAATCGTGAACGAAACTGCTACTGTTATTGTAACTGTTATACGGTAATTGTAACTCCCATCTCTAGTACGAAGCTGATGTTATGTTTATAAGGGTAAGGTGGAATGTATTAAGTAACAATTTGTAGTTCTATAGACAGTTTTAATTGATTCTGGGACGTTTTGAATGATTCTGGAAGGGTTCTAAATGGTTCTCAATACACAGTTCTAAATGATTGAGAACATTTCGCTCAACCCTCGTGTATGTGATAGAGGTGGGAGTGGGAATAAAATTATGTACTTACGAATGTGGCGGCTATCAAGCAGGCGAATACCAAAAAGGCCTTCATTTTTATATTTTTTCGAATATTGGTTACTGTTCGATAGGAGACTGTAAACTGATATGTTTTGAATCGAGTGATTGGGAGTTCTTTTATATTGATTTTTCTATCGACGAATTGATGGGATTTTACGTTTCGACCGGTTGGTAAACATGATTTTTGTTTTGCTGTTCGATTTGACGAAGATAATAGAAAAAAAAAAGAATATTATGGTTTATGCAGATTCGAACAACATGTTGATAGCAGGAATAACCCAACCTGTCTTGTAATCTTGGAGTTTTTGACCTTGTTTCGCTATAAGAAACTGGTATTGGGTTATTTCGTACGTTTCCAAATCGGGTTTTCCGTCAATAAACTCACCGATTGGTAGTTAATTTGTATTCCAAATTTCATCGAATTTATTTATTTATTTATTTATCTACACAAAGTTTATCATTGTTTATGTAACGCGCCGATTTTGTAATTTATTGATTTGTTTATACCGAAAAATGAAAAACCTAGAGTAAATATACAGGGTGTTAATTAATTGTATGCCGATACTTCAAGATGTGAATATTTGGATGATTTTAAGAAGAAAAGTTTATATCGATGTATGTCCTAAACCTCTTAGTTTTCGAGCGACAGGATGTTAAAATTTTAGAAAAAAAACTTTTCTATCATAATGTTCTTATTAATCCAGTTATTTTTAAGAAATTTTGTATACACTTTTTAATTATTACGGAGCATTTTTTGAGGCATAAGATTTTTTTAAATATTCACCAGTGACGTTCGTACGGGGTTTGAACTGAATATGTTTGAAAAAAAAAATGGTACACCACTGGTTTTTCTAAAAACTAAAATTATACAATCCAAATAATTATTGACCACATCTTGTAACCACACATTGTACATGGTAAGTTAATTATTCAATTCGCCCGGTATAGTGCAATTACGAGGGTTGGCAAATATGTATATCCAAATCATTTACGAACTGTATTTTGAATTGTTTAATTACGATATGGTTACGAAAAAACGTAAAACAGGCTATTTAATAACATACAGGGTGAGTCAACAAAACAAAAAAAATCTCGATTAATGTCCCAAAAACCCCGTTGGAAAGAAAACAAACTTCGAATCGGTTTATTACACGCCGGGGCTTTCCCCGTTACAGTGTTGCCAATTACGCGAAATCGTGCCGGCCATTCCGAAACAGTCATACCAACTTTCCCGCTCTTCCCCACGCGCCTCGGTACAGACGAAGACGCCACCAACGGCCCGCCAACGAACCGAACAAAGACGGATAGAGGGATATAGAGAGCGCCTTTTATATCCACTACCCCGTTTCTCTAATTAAATTGATATCAGTTATAATTTCGTTTGGCAGTTGTCCAATATTTACCGCCCCTCGCGAAATGTATATCTCTCTTTATCTAATTTTGAGCAGCGGAGGAGCTCTAGCAGGAGCTCTATATAGCAGGAGTTCTACTGCTGATGATGACGATGTCTTCACGGTTCGTCGAACATGGAACAGGGATTTACTTAATTGATAGGTTTGTATTACGTCGTAATAACGTAATTTTAGGGGATGTTCGACGATTCGCGCCCTCGTTAAGGGATTTACGGGGGTCGGGCGATATATATACACACTCGATATATCCTTTATCCTGGAATTATTTGGGGAATTATCGGTTTAGTTAATTGTTTTTTGTGGTGGTTTATTCGCTGGATTGATGATGAAGGTGTCATATGTCACAGACTAGTGGAATCAAACTGTCATATGTCGTGTACGTCATACGAGTATAGCCAACTTAAACGATTTGTTTGGCTCTTTCCCCTGTGAGGTTTTTATACAGGGTGATAATTAATTGAATGCCGATACTTCATTGTTGAAATTTGATAGGCGCCCACAATGCATGGAAACACTTTTTTGAGGGATAAAAATTAATTTTCTACTATTATCAGTGACGTCCACGTCCGAAATTTCATAAAAATATCTGCCATAATAAGAAAATATTGATAAAAAAAATTATTTTTTTTTCTAAAAATTTAACACA